TACGAACGTTAGTTAACGTTCGTCAATAAATTAATTAATAAAAAATAATTTTCGAAGGTTTTACCTTCGATATGGAAGTCCGGCAGCATCCTGGATCTACAAAAATAAAAACAAACGTTAATGAACGTTCGTTAAAATAAAACAAAAAAAAATTATTTTTTCGAAGTTTTACCTTCGAAATTTCATCCAGGAGGCATCTGGAAAGCCGTAAAAAGGGAAAATTGAAACGTTAGTAAACGTTTCATTCAAATAAAAAAAAACAAAAAAAGTAAAAGAATTTCAAAGTTTACCTTCAAAATTCATTCCAGAAGACTCAACTTCCAAAGTAATAGTTTTTTAACAAAAATTTGCATATCGCCACGAAGACGGAGAAAGATGGAAGAGTGGATTCTTTTTGAATGTTGTAATCGGAAAGGTTCACAGGAAGCCGTCAACCTACAAAAAAAAGAAAAAACGAAACATTAGTAACGTTTCATCAAAAATAATAAAAAAAGTAAAAGAATTTCGAAGTATACCTTCGAAATTCTTTCAGGAGGGTTACAGGAAGCCGTCAACCTACGAAAAAATAATATCGAAATGTTAGTCTACATTTCGTTCAAATAAAAAATGAAAATACAATAATTTCGAAGTTTCATCTTTGAAATCCCGTCCAATCCAGGTGGCTACCGGAAAACTTACAAAAGAAAAAGAAATCAAAACATTAGTAACGTTTCGTTTAAATAAAATAAAAAAAAAAATAGTTTCGTAATGAAAAGTTCGTTACGAAACTAACCATGTTGAAAATTCCGTCCAGGCTGAAACCAGAGAGCCAAAAATCTAAAAAAAAAAGAATAAAGAACGTTAGAAACGTTCTTTTACAACAATAAAATAAAAAAAATAAAAGAATTTTGAAGAAATACCTTGAAATTCCGTCCAGGAGAATTCAGGAGAGCCAGAAACCTAAAAAAAGAAAATTGAAACGTTAATAATGCTTCATTAAAATAAACAAAAAAAAATTAAATAAAAAATAAAAATAAAATCGAAGTTTACCTTCGAAATTAAAGTCCTTCGGCGTCCTGGACCTACAAAGAAAAAGAAAAACGAACGTTAGTGAACGTTCGTTAAAAAAAAAAGAGACTCCTTTTTTTTTGAAGTTATTTACCTTCGAAATTGAATCTGAGACACGTACTTTCGGCGTCTTGGACCTACAAAAATGAAAACGAATGTTAGTTAACGTTTGTAAAAAAAACTAATAAAAATAAACACTTTCGAAAAATATAAAGGATAATATACCTTCGAAATGGAGCCCACGAAGCGTCCAGAGTGCTGTAGTCCTACAAAAAAGAAAAACGAAACGTTAGTAAACATTTCGCTAAAATAAAAGAAAAAAAGTAAAATGAAATTTCGAAGCCTTACCTTCAAAATAGGAGACCGGAACCTGCCTTTCAGTTTCTTGTACGGTTGTACCTACGAAAAATAAAAAAATGAATATTAGAATTAGTAACGTTCATTAAATAAAATAATAAAAAAAAAATCGAAGATTTTACCTTCGATATGGAAGTTCTTTCGGCTTCCTTTACCTAAAAAAAAAGAATAACGAACATTAGTGAACGTTCGTTTAAATAAAAAGAAAAAAAAATTTAAAGGTTTATTTTACCTTCGATATAGGAGCCCGGAACTCAGTTTCAGCTTCCTTTATCTAAAAAAATAAGATGAAACTTAGTTAACGTTCGTCAATAAAGTTAACAAAAAAAAAAATTTTTTTTTTCGAAGGTTTTACCTTCAAAGTAAAGTCCGGAGCTGGTTTTGGCGTCCAGGACCTATAAAATATAAAAACGAACATTAATTAACGTTCGTTAAATAATAATAAAAAAAAAATCAAAGGTAAAGGTTTTACCTTCGAAATTAACGTCTGGAGCCGTACTTTGGCGTCCAGAACCTATAAAATGTAAAACGAACGTAAATTAATGTTCGTAGGTATAAATAAAATAAAAAAAAATTCGGAGGTAAATTTTACCTTCGAAATAAATGTCCGGAGCCGTACTTTGGCATCCAGGACCTAAAAAAAAATAAAAAATGAACGTTAGCGACGTTCGTTAAACAAAAATATAAAAAAAAATTTTGAAAGTAAAGGTTTTACCTTCAAAATAAATGTCCAGAACTGTTCTTCGGCGTCCAGGACCTATAATCGAACGTTAGCAACGTTCATTAGATAACTTAATTAAAAAAAAATGTCCTGAGCCGTACTTTGGCTTCCAGGACTTAAAAATATGAAAAATGAACGTTAGTGGCGTTCGTTAAATAAAAAATTATTTTTTTAAAATAAATTAAGATTCGGAGGTAAGCATACCTCTGAATTCCAAAAATCATCAATAGGTTCCATCCGGAACCTATATAATATA